TTTTTATTGAAAAAATTAATCATTTAGTTCTTGTAATTTTGACCCAATTATAATTCAGTTCTTAAACTTTGACCCTAACTCATTCCTTGAAATTTTGACTTGGTTATAAATCAGTCCTTAAACTTTATCCCTCACAATTTAATCCCTGAAGTTTCAACCTCTTAAATATTAATCCTTATATTTTAAAAAATAAAATCATAAAAATTAAAAATATTTTAAAATTTATTACTAATATCTTAAATTACTAAACCCTTTTAACCTTTATAAATATTAAAAGTTTAAAACATTTTTAATCTTTATAATTTTATTTTTTTAAATATAGGGACTAATATTTAAGAAGTTAAAATTTTAGAAACTAAATTACAAGAGACAAAGTGTAAGATCTCCCTCACTATTCCCTGATCAACTCCTAATCTCAATTAATTACTCAAGTCAAGTGACAAGTTTGCCAAATTTCACAAAAGGTTTATATTAATGGGATCCAAAGTTTTCAATATTTAAAACATTTCAAAAGAACTTTACAATAGAAAATTAGAGTTCAATTCATATGTGGAAGCATAGAATCACAAAAGAATTAGTGCATTTATGTAGAAGTAAAAAATAGTGGATTTATGCAGAAACAGAGGCATGCACAGCAACTCGTGAGCCTCTGTGCCATGTGTAGCAGCTCAGGCAGAACACGTCGTGGCTTGTTGCACGCTTCATGACAGGAAATTTTTGCTGTCATTTGACAACCCTCGGGGCAACTTTCAAAGAGTCTCATTTCTCCATCTGATGTTCGATTGACGTGACCTAGATGTTTACAAAAAGCTTTCTTCTAGCTCTAGTTGTTGACTTTGGTTTCACAATCAAATTATCTCTCAGTAAAAAATTGAACACCCATTTCAAAATTTTTCCTTTTTCACCATTTTTATATAACTTGAGTATACAAAACTCATATCAAAAGACAAAAGCTACAAACACTACTCAGACCATATTTAATAGACTAAAACAGACTTGTGCAACGCACCACATCACTCATAATACTTACAAGATAAATTTTCATTAATCAATCCCTTCATCTTAAAAATAGAAAGGGGAGCTCTAACCTCATAATTCATCAATTAATCTATAAAAATCACATGTCATACTCGTCTCTTACTTGTACTAGTATTTTAGCCCTACTATAAATATCACAATCTATACACAAATACCCTAGGACCCAAAATACACTATATACAAAACAGGTAATGTAAGTAAGTCACAATTGAATTATCTTTAGTTGGCAATATCATATAACATATATACATTAATACTCAAAAGTACGGGAGGCCTACTAATAGGATTTGGATCCTATGCTTTAGGTTGTTTTTCTCTATCCTACCCTCTTGAGTTAGTTCCTATAATATTGAAGATAGTAGGGTGAGTACAACTACTCAGTAATCAAGGTCTATATAATTCATACTAATGCATATCAATCAATTTAAATGCAAGTGGTGAAAATAATCAATTTTGAATCATTTACAAGTTCAAGAGCATAATTCAAATTCTCATTCAAAGTACACATGTTCATAATTAATGGTTGAAATAACACTATTACATGTAGAAACAAGACTCACCACATGATTTGTTTCACTGGGGTCACAATACAGACAAGCATGTGCCTTTTTTATTACTATATGTATGATCACACTTCTCTTATATCCTCCTTATTCCTCTAACATGAAACCGTAGGTTACAAGTCACTGGGATCATCTATACATTAAGACTACCTTAGCCAAAACATGTGTGAAAGGTTACTCAATCAAGGTTTCCTAATTTACTTGTGGGTCATGGTTTCCCTTATTTCTCATACTATAGGGCGTCATTCTCCTTAAACTAGTTTCCTCGCTGAACAAGTAAATAACTAGTTAGGTTTAAGTCTCTCATTGAACTAGTAGGACAACATAAATCATAAGTCCAGGCTAACCATCAAGCTCTAATGCAAGCCTTACCATGTGGATTTAATTCTTTACTCTTCTTCCTAAGCAAACTCTCACCCCTTATGATTATGCAATACATACTTATAGAACAACTCACAGCATGCAAGTGTTTACTACCCAAGCATGCACAACATTATCATCATACCCGTCTTATACATGAGAATTACATAACACACATAATCAAATCGTTGAGCTCTACTTTACCTATCTCATTGAACTTCTCATTTACAAATTCATTAAACTCCTCAACTACATATTTCATTGAACTTTACAAATATCACATCATCAAACTTTACAATTTCAATTTCATTGAATCATTCACATATCAAGTCATTAACTTCACTTACACATAATCTTTGAACTCCCTATCAACTCATATCATTAAATTCCAAAGAAATCATATCGCAAGAATCTACTAATAATATTTCAAAGAATTTTTTATATAACATGTCATTGAACTTTGTAAAATCATTTTAGTGAATTTTTTTTAAAGTAATTTGTGCCACACTTGCATTTCATTCAAATTCTCATATTTAATTATCAAATATCAATCAATAAATTAATTAACACATAAAAGTACAAAAAAGAATTTCTCCAATTATCTCAAACCTTTGAGAGGTCAAAAATTTTACCTCTCAATTACTCACTCCTAAAGCTTCCATGAAGCTTGAATGGTGCCAATATGATCACTCTATAATACATTGCAATACACTTCATCAATATCTCTTTTTGGAGAATTTTTACTATTAACCCAACCACTTATTCACTCATAAGATTCATTCCCTTACCATGTAAGAGTACCCCATAAAGTTTCTTAACTTTTTCTAACTTATATTAACTTTATTAAACTCTTACATAACCATTAATGGAGCCACATTGCCCCAACCATTATATTTATGGTAAAATTTTCATTCATTTAATGCCCCCTAATCACTAACAATCACAAAGCCTTAAATGCTAGGTTCCATTAGTTTAATCAACTCCCATTAATTTTATTTAAGTCAATAAGTTTGGACTCATAGTCTTTATGGATCGAAAATCATCATTCTCAATCAAACCCTAACTTTCCAACTAGAAAAAATGGAAGAGGAAAGGAAGAAATGAGCTTAGAAACCTTACCTTAAGTGTTTATAAACTTTAAAATACTTTAAATCTTTGAATGTTCTGTGCCATAGCAGAGTTCTTCAATTGCTCCTTTGTTTCTCTTCGGTTTCTCTCTTCTCTTGCATCATTTTTGTGCTCTTATTTCTATACAAAAATGGCAATGCGCCGTGGCAAACGCATCTTGCTTCGCAGCTTTTGGCATAAAGAAGTCTTACCTAGATGCATCAGCACACATGCATTGCCTTGGATCATCTACAAGTCATGATGTGTGGTACAAAACCTTACTCTTTAGATTTTCTTCCTCTTTTATGTCCGGGTGACTTGACTTTACTTTAAACCCGCATTTAAGGCTAAAATTATAACTAAACACCCTTGTTAGACCTCTCTAACCACACGCACTTCACTTAATAAACTCAATTACTCTAATCAGACTTAGTTACAATTGAGTCAAAATTACAAAGACTAATTGATTAATTTTTTTTATTTAGTAATTTTAATTATAATTGAAATGCATTTTGGAGATTTTATTTTATTTTAGTAATTTGAATTCAAAATTTTTGGAGATCTTGTTGAAATTCTGTCACATCCAAGGGATTTTAATGAAATTCCCCCAATAATAAATTTAGGAGATAGGGAATGAGATCTTATATCTAGGATTAAAATAAATTCCTCACTCAACAAACTACTACATTAAAAATCAGGAGAGTATTTTACAAATATTTAGGCAGCAAATTTACACATTCTTACTTTTTAAAACTTATTTAATTGTTGGATTTGCTCGCCATTTTGCCCATAAATTCACGCTATTTATTTATTTTATCAGTTTTTTATTTTTCACTGTTTTAATTATATTTTTGCCACATAACTTTCATATAAATGCATTTATGCAATTAGGTGGACTTTTTACGATCACAAGTGCACAATTCACATTATTTGTGGATAATATTATCTAATACTAGCCTTGGTTACGAAATCATGTGGGTAAATATTTTGAACATTGAGATTGAATGGTTGTCCCTGTCCGTATTACGGAATACATCTGCGGACGTTAGGATGACTATGTTCTCTCTCTCTCTCTCTCTAAAAATCATGATACAAACAATTCCAAAAATTGAAATACTCCAACCTGCAACGCAAGTTTCTCACAAAAGAGGCAGACACGACGACACCTGAGGATTGATGGATCCAATTGAAAAGCATGGGTCTAAGATGAACTTACCATCAAATATCTTTCAACGGTTAGGAGTTTCAAAAGCTTCTTCACTTGATCTCTGCAAACTTGACTGGCATTTAGCAACACTTCTATATACGCCCTACGGAAGATGAATTAACAAGCACTAGCAAGCTTCTTGAATATGTCACTCATGTAGGTGGGAAAATAATAATAGAATAGATGATTGCAAAGAGATTTCTTGTTCGCAAAAATAACGCATCAAAAAAAGTTGTGCTCTTGCATCAACAATCATGCAACTGTAAGCGAAATGTAAGTCAAGGGGATGATGTTGCATTTGATCAATGATGAATCTCATTCAAGCTCTATATTTGATGGAACATAAGAGGAACGCACCCTTTTCATGGTGCTGAACTTTCGAGATAGCAAAGGAATTAATGGAGAACAAAAGAAGTGTCTAGACCTTCATACAGGAAAATAATCATCTGAAAAGCGAAAGCCTAACCTAAAACATGCCAGTCTTAAAAAAAATAATAATAATAAAATAAACCAAAAAATAAACACTCTATCTAGTTGGAACTGGGGCTAGATTCCGCTTGAGAAAAGTAAATTCCATCGAGACACAGATTGACAGGATAATCAGGAGATCCAGCGGCTTTTGTTTTTTCGTTAGTTCGAAGAAAATAGATTGCTAGCAAGTTCATTAAATTTGGTGAAGGACTTGGCTCCTGGATAATCACGCACGCTACCAACAACTACGAGGCTCAGGGGAAAAAGTCTATGATACAATATTTTTGAGAAAAATAATTTCGCAAGTTGTACTAAACAATAACCCAAACATATTAGGCGCGGCAGTAATAAGCATCCAGGATTTAAAACCAGACAAACTGGGTGATCAAACTATTGGATAAAGTAGCCGCTCAGAAACAGAACGAAGAAGAAGAACAAACTGCCATATATGAGCACGGCCTTCTGTCCGGAAGTGAGAGAATTTCCACCAAGCCCGAACTGCTGATTCTGCGCAAAACCAGCAATCTCAACGCTCTTACTTTCGAAGAAACTCTTGGCAGCGCCACACGTGGGACACCGCCAATCATCGGGAAGCTTCTCGAACTGAAATCCAGGCGGAATGGGATAAGAGGGATCACCCAAGGCCTCGTCGTATTTGTAACCACAGGACCGGCATTCATAGATTCCAGTATTCAACACGGCGAATTTCTCTTCCAGGCGACGCTTATCGAAATTGTCAGAGTCAGGCGGAGGGGAAGACGAGGAGGGTGAATCGGGCTGGTCGGAGCCTGAGGTGGGAGTGTCCTCTTTCGAAACGTCAACGGAATATAAGAGGAAGTTTGGAGGAGCAGGGCGTTTGTGGGAGAGCGGACTGAGGAGGGATTTGGAAGGGGAGAGATGAAGCTTGGATTTGGGAGGGTGAGGTTGGGTAAAAGAGGAGGAAAGGTGAAAGGAGAAAGCAGGTCTTGGGGCGGTACAAGAAGCCATGAACGAGAAGGGGAAATGCAAGGAGGAGGAGGAGAGGACGAAGGGTGGAGAAGGGGAAGGCTTGACGGAGAGGTGTTGTGGGTGGGGGAGAAATGAAATGAGGGGGATCCATGGAAAGGCAGAGCATAAGCCGTTGGGAAGGGACTTGGATAAGGTGGGGAAACTTGTGTGCCGATCTCCTCCCATCATGCTCCTTCTCCCCTTACTAGTACTGGGCCTTTTCCACTGGGCTTGAGTTCATTTCATCATTTACCCTCTTCAACTTCTCCTGATACTTTAACCCTTCATTTCACGTTGTTTTTTTTTTTTTTTTTTACATGGACTCAGTTATTCTTCTGTAAAAAATAATCTTGTTTGATGCAAGGTTAATATTAAATGTAAAAATATTTTCTAACAGAAAATTAAATTTAAATATTTATTTATCATGTTATGAGAAATTAGCCTTTTTTATTAAATTTAAACTCGCTAACATAAATTATTATAATTTTAGCAGACAGGAATGGCAATGACAGGAGTAATTAAATTCATGTGCAATAAATATGAGCAAAAGGCAAACGCACGCACCATTAGATTTTGGAAATAAAACTAACATGGGACTACCACACAACCAGTATCCATTAACTTTCGTTTACAATTTTTCTTTCGCCCATGAAGTTTCTTTTACGATTAAGTTAAAATAAGAACCATCGGATGGGCCAAAAGAAAGAGAAAAAAAAAAACCTAGGGTAAGTATATACGATTTTTTTATATTATTATTGAAATTAGATTGGTTTGAAGTTTGATCACGGGAGATTAGTTTCAATGACTTTCATATCCTTGATTGGCAGCCTGGAGGAGTTTAAATAAATATATTTTTCTTTTATATTCCTTCTTTCCCTCTTTTTACACCCCAAACCTAAAGTGGTAATATTTTTCATGCACGGGAGGGGGAAAACTGAGAATATGCGTCCTATTCCAGGCAAATACACAACGGCCGCTGGAACAGCATCCGGCTTCTATTGAAATAAACGCACAAGCCAATTTCATGAAGAATTCTGAACAATTCCTCGGAAATGCTTTCGCCGTTGGTTTCTTGGATCTTGGCGTCCTCTCCTTCTTCTTCATCCTTTTCGGAGGAGGAAGAAGATAACTTTGTGGACGACGGAGATCATTACGAGAACGTCGGCGAGAACGAGCATTTCCTCCGCGAAGCCGAGGAGCTTCCTTCAACATCATGCGCTGGTAATAATAAAACCATTCCCGTTTCCCTCGCCACCGCCGGCGCCGACGACTCTTACATTCCCAACACGGACACCAGCTCTAGAAAACGACGGCGTATCACCCATTCTTATCCTCGGAGACAGTATCAGAGGCTGTGGACGAAGCAAGACGAGATCGAGCTCTTGAAAAGATACCTGGATTACATCAAGCAGCACAGATGGGCCACCACATCTCTCCAAAACGACGTGACATTCTTATACGATCACATCAGGCCTAAATTCAACAAGGATTTCAACAAGAACCAACTTGTCCAGAAGCTTCGAGCATTAAAGAGAAAACACAAGACTGTTTCCAACAAAATCAACTCCGACAGGGAAGTTTCGCACAAGAGCCCCCAGGAGGAGGCAATTTTTGAGATCTCCGAAAGGATCTGGGGCAATAATCGAGACAAGGAATCAAGCCCGGATCCCGACGCCGACAACAATATCGAGGTGAATAGTGAAGAAGAAGATGGCGGTGAATCGGGGCAATTGAATGAGGAGAACAAAGATATAAAGAGGCTGGTAGAGGAAACGATGAGGTCGTGTTTGTCACCACTGAACATTAATAATGCAACGGAAGGATCAGCATTGAAGTTAGTAGAGCAATACGGAAGTGGGGAAGAAGGCGATGATGAGAGGGGGAGAAAGCAGAGGATTCTGGAGCTGGAAGCTTATTTGGAGCAGTTGGAGTTGTTGCAGAATCAAATTAAGGCTAGGATAGAGGAGTTGCGAAGCGACGATGGATGAAGAATTCAAGTTAGAAGGTAAAACGGTTGATTATTTTTCTTTCCTTAACCTTAGGTGTTTGATGTTACAAGTTCTTTATTTTGTATGCCAGGACAAAACTAATTCTCCCGGTTTTGCACGTGGTTTAATTTAATATTTGCTAATAATTGATTAATTATATGAATGGTTATTAGAATAATCTGGGTTGTAATTTGACGGCAGAAAAAAATTGTGTGAAGAGGAATTGATGATCATACGAAGAATCAGGTCACGAACAAATATTCAATATCACGTTAAAAAAAAAAAAAGTCAAACCTTCTAGAATACTACTACACATAACCCAAATCAAATTAAATTGACCACGTTTGGCAAAGAAGAAAAAGGACTGAAGCTTGGAACACCTCATTAGGACAGGACTCTCGTGAGTCATCAGGGACAGACTGATCTTAATTGACAGAACGAAACTTAGAACTCGTCTTCGCAAATACCTCTTCTGCAATAACAGCAAGAGCTCCATCTGCCTTTATAATATCCAAGTGGGCCTTCTCATAAAAACCGGTGCCCCTCAGCGAATCTGAAATAAAACCAGCAGATCCAAATGCTGCAGCAGCATCTGCTCTGGCTCCATAAACCAGTCTCTGTTTCAACGTGAGGCAGCCCAAAACATATAAGAGCATTCAACAAAATAGGACAAAGTGAGGGCGCTTGCAGGTATAGCTAACCTTTATTCTTGAACGCTGAATTGCTCCGAAACACATCGGACAAGGCTCACAAGACGCATACATCTCACAGCCAGATAGATCAATTTGATTGAGCTTTTTACATGCCTGCACATTAATTAACACCAGTTCCAACTTCAACTTAGATCGATGGAAGATACCAAAGACGAAACAGCTTATCAAAGCAGAATAACTAATTCGATGCGGCAAGATCGCCAAGATAACATCTCCAAGACTATCCTACTCTGACCAGCGATCAGATTCGGATCTACGAGTATGAGCGCGTGTGAATTATCACAGATTTCACAAAGGAACGACACAACATTACGTGTTAATCTAACCTCTCGTATTGCAGTAACCTCAGCATGAGCAGTGGGATCGGTGTTTCTTAAAACCAAGTTATGACAGCTCACGACTACTTCATCGTTGCGAACGATCACAGCGCCAAAAGGGCGACCATCGCCACATTCAACCCCTTTATATGCTTCTTCGATTGCTTTTGCTAGGAACTTGCGATCTCTGTCCTGTACAGCTGATTTAACAATTGACGGTAATACTGATAACTATATGGAACAACTTGTCCATTAGTAATCATCCACTCACGCTTCCTTTATGTATACTACACGGGCAGATTAACTGATTATATATTTAGAAGTGTCGCATTATATCATCAAACAGGATGTAAAGAGAAGCGGAAATCAACCGAACCTAAATAGAAAGAAAAGGCGATAATTTAATAAGCATGTTACCGCTAGCAGCAGAAGCGTCCTCCATGATAGTGTGAATCCGATGAGCAGCAGGAAGTTATCAAACACTCGAGAAAGCGATGAAAACTGTGGAGATCGATAAGGAGAAACAATGATTGTGAAAGAGGGAGTTGACCATGTATTGGAATTAGAACATATATATATAATATAATAATGCAAGGCAAGGAGATGAAAAAATTAGAGTTGAGAATTCAAGCCCCATCCAAGTAAGTCGAAACACGAATAAACTCGATTATTTAAAAAGCTTGAATAGCTTAATCTGACTTAAATTCTTTTGGACAGTCTGAATATTCAAATTCTATTTTTGACATTATTTTTAATTAATTTTTTTACTTTAAAATTAATTATTTTATTTTCAAAAAATATAAAAAATACTTAGATGATGTATAGGACTCAAATATATAATATTTTAATATAAAATAACTTAGAACTTAAAAAATTATTAATATTTATCATATTTTATATATTTTGTAAAAACAAAAAAATTTCATTTGGGCATTCAGGTCAAGCCCAAACTCAATTAGGCTTGGCTCAAATTTTCTCGAGCCTAACTTGAATAGGTCCAAACAAAAAAAAATTATATTTTTTCTAAGCCTGGTCTTAACTTTTTTCATTTAGATTCGGGTTAGCCTATTGGGCTCAGTCCGAATTATTGGCTCTAAAAAAAATATACTAGTTGATTTAACTAATAACCCAATCAACCAGCCAATTAGCTAGTCTAATATATGGCCTAACCTGATGTAGTGTTAACTAGACCAATCCAGTCAACTCGATAGTGACCCAGTTAACTTGATCCATTTATTTGAGCAAAATATTTTAACTTTCTAATGTCTGTTGGGATTTTATTGAGTTTGCTGAATTTTTATTGGGATACCACTAGCATGTCTAATATTTTTCTCTCTTAATTGAATTTTTGTTAGGTTATTTGCTCAAAACTAATGATTTGTTATTTTTATATTTAAATATGAATTTTTTGTATATAAATTAAATTATTTATTCCAATTTCTAGTTGGAGGAGCATGCCCGAAAGGGGAATAATGATGACAACGACGACGACGATGACGACATGAGACATGATATAGTAGATATTGGCTTACATTCTATCCATATATTCATAGTCCCCCTCTCTGATAGTAATTGAAGGAGTGTTTGGAAGGGGGAGAGGGAACAAAAATAATAGGGGAGATAGGTAGGATACAAATGGACTATTGGGTTAGACGATAATGATGATGATATAAAAAATAATATTAACATGTTAACATAAGACTTGATACAGTAAATATTGACTCACATTTTATCTATACATTTTTTGATATCTATCAATAATTTAATTTAATATATATATAAACAAAAATTAAATTTTATGATTCTATCCAAGGTACTAAAATAAAATTGAATTGATCATTAAAATAGTTAAGATGATAAATTAATAATTAATGATTCAATCAAGAGTAATTATGACAAAATATATAATTTAATTGATAGGAGCCAGAAGGAAAATGCCAAGAGTCCTTTTGTGTTGTTTGTTTGCTGTTTTTTTTTTGTGGCCCATCAAAAGTCTCTTTTTACTCCTAGCCCAAATTCATGTCATTTTCTTTTGGGGAGTTGGTGGGGGTGGGGATCCTGTCACTTTCTTAATCCCCCTTTCTTTTCTCGAGGATCTTAAAAGAAATCCTCCATTTATTATAAAAAAAATATCCTTCGTTACAGATACAATGATAAGTTGATAACAACATTAATGCTGTAGTCAATAATTTAAACCAAATTAAACGAGTTAGTCTAAAATTTACTAGAAAAATTTAGGATCAACGCAAAAAATAATAATAAGCTTTTATTGTTTGAGTCTATTTAAACTATCTAAATAGGGTCGAGAAAATTCGGGCCAAATTTGATCGAGTTCGAATACCCAAATATTTTTTTTTAAAATATATAATATAATATATATTAATTAATTCTTTGAGTTTTATGCTATTTTATATTAAAATCCTATATACTTGAGTGTATTACTATAGTTATTGTTTAAAAAAATAAAAATATTTATATTTTTATATTTTTATTATTTTTAATCAATAAAATATTTTAAAATAATATTTTAAATATATTTTAATATTTATTTTTGTATTCTAAGACTCAATTATTTTTAAAAAAATTTGAGTCTTGTACAGTATTTGCGTATCCAAAAAAAATATTTCATATTTTTTATAAAATAAGATAATTAATTTTAAAATTAAAATAATTTTAAAAATAAAATTTAGGCATATATGAGTTTCCAACTCTACTACTAAATAAACATAATAAATAGAATAATATTTTTAGATAATTATTTAGTTATCATTCACATCAGACTTATTTAAAAATTAAAATTAAACTAAAGTAAATACCTCTTGTATCTAGGAGTTAAACAATATAAAAAGTTAAAAAAAATTCAAAAAAATAGTATTATACTCATAATTAAATGATTTTGTTCTATACGATATGATAATGGCTATTTTTTTATATTCTTAAAAATAAAAAGCATAATTTACCCAAAAGTTATTAAAAAATTTTAACTAATCAGGACAATGATTTTAAGTTAATAGTCTAATTTTAATTGAATTAAAATTAACTTGATTATAATTGAAATAATATAATTTAATTAAAATATATAAAATAGTTATATATGATTATGATAAGAGTAATATTTAAAAAACTAAAATATTAATTGACAAGTAAAGGAAACATTTATGAATAAATTATGCATAATACAATAAAATAGTAACAGAGCTACTTAAGTACAAAGTTAATAACTTATTATTTTGAATTTTATTTTTTAAAAGTTAAAATAATATTTTATACATAACAAAATTATTTAAAAATTAAAATTGATTTAAAAAATAAAGAAAATATATTGTTAGAAAATTATGGGTATTCTGGCTGGCCTGAATAAACCTAAGGTGTTAGGACTAGGTTAGGTTTGATTATATGAACTTTTTAAAAAAAATAAGATATCGCAAGCCCAATTCAAATAAACTTGGCCCCAATTAAGTTCGACCTACCTGAATTATCGGCTCTAATTAATACAATAAATTATAATTTTTTGTGGTAGGTTCACCTTTTTTATCACATTGATTAAGGAGATCCTTTCTTACGTAGGGTGTGCTGTACAAGAAAAGCAAGCCATTGGTTGAGCTTACAATAGGCTAAGGTTGCACAAAAGATTAGACAAGATTGAATTTTGATTTAATCAGCTGATCTCTTTTATATAAATAATTTTGTTTGGCAATCAGTAGTCCAATTTAGTTTAGTTATAACCTGACCAAATTTAATCTATGAGATTAAGAAACTAGTCTTGATAGTTTAGTATCCACTTAGTCTTTTTTTTTCCTTGTTTCCTCCGCAAGAGGCAACATTTACTTTAATATAATAAACTCAATTAAGATAATAAAAATACTTATACTCATAAGAAATTCATAACAATCTCCAATAAAAAAATATTGCAATTATAATCCAAGTGATTCAAATTCATAATTTAAACAACAACAACAATAACAATCAATAAATTTCAACAACATATTTAATATACATTACAATAACAATTTAACAACAAACTAAATTAAAACTATATCAAATAGAAAGATGAAATGCAATGAAGGGAACATTGCCTTCAAACTTCAAAATATTTAAATATATTAAAATAATTAAATTATATTAAAATAATTTAATAGGATCAAATCGGATCAAGTGGTGTAAAAACTTGGTCACCTATTCCATCTAACCCGAGGAGTTAGCCTAATTTTTTTGGCATTTTTGGTCCATCAAACCAATTTTTCATTAGATCGAACCAGATCGAGTGTGTTTGGGTTAGATTGAGTTAGACGAGACAATTAAACTTTTACACAACCCTAGAATAGAATGGAGAGGATTCTCTTCATTTATTTTCATCCCTTTTTTTTCATTTTTTAAATATTAAATTAAGATTGAGATGCTTTAGGTTTGATCTCTTATAAAATTATTATTAAATTATAAAAATATAAATAATAAAATTCAAACTTTTAAAATACAATAAAAAATAAAATCAAATATTTTATAAGAAATTAATTTATAGCAGTAAAAAATTTAATCCAATGGTTAGAATTAAAAGGAAAAGCAAAGATGATGAAAAAAAATAGAGCTAATAATTCAAGTGAGTAAGACTTATTTGGGCTAAATTTATTTAAACCTGGTTTAAACTATCTTACCGTCTCTAAAAAACTCATATTGTCAAATTTGATCCTAACACCTTCGAGCTTCAGACTTATTCGTGCATGCCTGAATACCCAAAACTTTTAAAAAATATATTGTTTTGAACCAATTTTAATTTTTATATAATTTTGTTAAGTATAAAATATTATTTTAACTTTAAAAGAATAAAATAAAAAATCATAATTTATCTACTTTGTACTTAAGTAACTATGTTATTATTTTAATATATTATATATAATTTATTCATGAATGTTTTCTTTACTTGTAAATTAATATCTTAATTGTTTAAATATTGCTCTTATCAAGGTCATATATAAATATTTTATATATTTTAATTAAATTATATTATTTTAATTATGGTCACGTTAATTTTAATTTAATTATAGTCAGACTACTAACTTAAAATTATTGCGCCGCTTAATTCAAAGTTTTTAATAACTTTTGAGTGAACTATACTTTTCATTTTTTAAAAATATGAAAAACACAAACATCATTATATTACATAAAATAAAATTATTTAATTATGAGTAAAATATTAATTTTTTTAAATTTTTTCTTTAACTTTTCATATTGTTTAACCTCTACACACAAGGGGTATTTATTCTAATTTATTTTTAACTTTTAACTAAATTTGGCATGAATGATGATCAAATAACTATCTAAAAATATTATTTTATTTATTATGTTTATCTAGTAGTAGAGCCAAGAATTCGTACATGCTCGAATTTTATTTTTAAAATTATTTTAAAATTTATTCTTACTTTAAAATTAATTATCTTATTTTATAAAAAATATAAACTATATTTTTTTGGATAAGTGAATGATGTACAAGACTCAAAACTTTTTTTAAAAAAAATTGAGTCCTAAAATATAAAAATCAATCTCAAAATATATTTTAAATATTATTTTGAGGTATTTTATTATTTAAAATAAGAAAAATTTGAATATTTTTATTTTTTTAAAAAATAATTATAATAATACAATCAAATATTTAATATTTTAATATACAATAATATAAAACTTAAAAAATTAATTAATATTTATTATAATTTTAAAAATTTTATTTTTTTTATTTGAATATTCAAGTTAAATTTGAATTTGATTAAATTTGGCTTGAATTTTTAAATATTAAAAATTATTTTGTTTTCAGACTTTGCCTTAAATGTTTTAGATGAATTCAGATTAATTTATTGAGTTTAGCTGAAATTGTCGCGACTCTAGGAAGAAATAGGAGAGAATCCTATCTCCCGTTGACATCACCATCTTGGCCGAAAAATAGACAGACGACATCATTATCAACCTAGGCATCTGGGGAAGCCCAAAAAAAAAAACAAAACAAAACAAAATCTAAAACAATATGATGGTTAAAAACTAAAAATTAAGCACGGCGACGTGTAGATTTCCTTTCTATATGACCCATGAAAAAAATGCCATTTCCAAAGTAAAAATACCTTATTCACCGACGCGATGGAACGTCATCGACCACCATAGATTTTTAGTTTTTCCGAGCAGAAGTGTTTCCTCAGTTCTACCGCCTCTCCCCGAGTCTCCCATGCTCTAATTTGCTTTCAATCTCTGGGGTTCTCCATCGCATGTTCCGATGCCTGAACGAGCCTCCTTCAAGTCCCCTAGCTCTCTGATGCAGAGCAAGAGGAAGATGACTACGAAGAAGAAGACGGCGTGGTGACTGATGAGTAGGACAATGTTTCTGGATATTTACAACAACGTTGTATTTTGGGTCAAGACAGCTCGGCACGAGGCGTTCAAGGCAAGGAGGCGAGATGCTTCGCAATGAGGCTAGAGACTTCGGCAGGGAAATTTTTGACGTTGATGAGTTTTCTTTGGCTTATGACCTCCGAATCGTTGAATTCCAGGCTACGGATTTCTGCTCTTTACAGGCTCTCAATTTTCTCTATCGCTTTGTAGTGCAAGTGATTGATTGTGACGGTTGGAAGGATGATCTGGTACTGGACAAACTCGTTTTCCACGATTTCGCAACAAGAAGACGATGAGTACACAATGAGGCTTGGCTCCGTCGAGAACCAGTCTTAGGATCTTGGAAAACGCCTCTGCAAGTATTTCTATATATAGCCACAATTTGATCGTGCAATCGTAAATATTTCGCCATTAAAGGCGGCTTAATCGCCCACATTGGTTTAATCAAAGGAAAAGTTGGCCTCGATCGAGGGAACTGGAGAAAGTGGAACAATGATGCTAGCATGATTCACTATAGAGATTGAAGCGGCAAACAAATCGATTTTCTTCTTTTTTTGTTCATATGGCTGCCGACTCCACATCGTTGGGTCAAAATAAATAGCCAACACGTCAAGTGTTAAAATTTAGGGCGATTGCACCATTTTGAAAACATTATGGGTTTGATTCTTTAGAATGCCAATTAGACAATTAATCCTTAGAAAATACTTCCAGGATAAATTTATCTTTCACACTTAAAATCACAATCATTAAGATCATTATAGTTATAATTGAAGAGCAGAACTGGAAACCTATCAATAGCAATTAATAGGACAAGAAGCAAAGAAGAGAGACTGGGCCACGAATTTGGATACATGGATTTGAACTGCGTCAGGAAAAATAGACATACAGAAAAATAAACAAAGTGACATGATCAAAACCTAAACTACAATAAGAGTATGGCATTAAGAAACAATGCCTAGTTGGCATTGAATGAAGGTAGAATTGGCAGGAAAAAAACTACGATGGAAGCAAAAACTAATAGGTAAAATTCAGCAGAACTGTATCGATTCCCAATTTTTTGTATTTCCTTAAAAAGAAAAAAAAGTGCCGAGGAGAACGCCAAGCTAATCAAAACAACAAGAAAAATAATGCGAAGAAACGGAAAAAAAACAGATCATATATGAAAAATTGCAGAACCAATTTGGCATCAAACATCTTCTGGCGCCATGGGGCGTCTGCGAATGTCAGAACAATACAAAGTGTCAGAACTCTAAACTAGCAGTTTCAAGCACCCAGTGACATGCTGAGATAATCAGCCATTGCCAGTTCCCCAATACTCTATCCTCCACCAACAATAAACCACACTGAGATCGTTGATCTTATAACCTGCAGCATGCGAACGCATGCTCTTTGACATTCTCAAGGGGGGGGGGGTATATCTGCAGTCTGCTTGGCAAGATTTCTGACGTGAAAACCTTGTATAAATTGTCATTCACTAGGCTATATCCAAATCAAGTAACATAGTCACTCCTAAGTACGAAAAACAACAGTTGAAATTTGGGAGCAAGTTTTGCATTAATTTCTCAAAAAAGGTTCACTTCCGGTGCTCAATCTAAAATAGCAAGCAAAGAACAATAATACCAAAATATTCAAAATTATAGCTATTGAGGAACATTGATTCTAAAGGGGACTTAACATCAAAATCAATAGAAGCATTCTAAAACCTCATTTCTTCTTCGCAGCATCAGATGCCTTAGTCTGCACAACAAATGACACACGTTAAAATATATCAAAGTACAAAGACAGTAAAAGTTACAAGCCATAACATTCACCTTCTTTACTCCACGGATTTTCTTGGCACGATTCTTCCGCTCTTTAACCTGCTTCCTTGACTTCTCAACCTTGGTAGAGAGTCCATTCTGCCACAAAAGAAAATGATTCCAATTGTATTTAAACACAGAATAAAGCACGCAGAATCCAAAAATAGAATAACAAAAGAACTGGTAACAAAAAGATATGTAATCAAAGTCAAAAACCAATTCCAAAGAATACCAAGCATTAACCATAAATTTAGAAGAACTATATACAATTCTAGCCAAAACCATTAAAATGACAAACAGACATCGCTAGAGAATACTACAATACTTGGCTATATATCACTGATACTACAAAGCATACTCCAAGTAACTCGAGAATAGTGAAGAAATACAGACCAAGATAGGTTAACATCCAAGGTCATAAAGGAATATATGGTCTTCTAAGAAAAAATGTTAAAAAAAAAACAAGTCAGTTTTCTAAGCAAAAATGCAAAGCTTACTATCCAGTACCCACTGACCCACTCAGACTACAAACAGTAAGAGTTATAAAAACAAAGGGAATATAGAACTATAGATCAAGAAAATGATCAAAAGCATGCTGGCAAAGAAATAATTTCCATTACACCATGTCAACTTACCCTGATAAGCCTGTACTTGGGCTCATACTTCTTTGCATTTTCAACAGAATCATAAATTAAACCAAATCCAGTTGATTTCCCGCCTCCAAAGTGAGTTCTAAACTTGAAGACAAAAATCGCATTTGGGTCTCTAACATCATACATCCTTGCTAGCTTCTCCTTGAGCTCCGCCTTTGTGCCATACACAAAAATTAATTATGAGTTATCATGAGAATATCCGCATTCACGAACTATAGATTTCCAGTTGCCAAAGCTACATGCGAGTTCGATAGGATCTACCCATAACAATTCATCACAAAGATGTTAAAAGTTAAAGTACCTTGGACACGTTTGGCCTCCCAGGATGAAGGACATCAATGATCTGCACAACAAAATATCATGGAAAAAAATATTAGTTCAATCGGGTTAGAAAATTTAGGTACAAAACACAACAAATTCGGTAAGCTCCCAGAAAATAATTCGTGAAAAGAAGTCAAGGAAATGATCTCATGATGTGCAGTTATTACTTGTTGATGACAACAACCAAATCATTTTACCATGTCAGCCATTCATTCAACATTGTTCTTGACGAAATTCAAATCAAAATCTGCCTTGGACAGTGAGAAACTCACAAATTGTTTTCTTGACAACAGACGGTTGGTCATGAACTTTCTGGTTCTTACAGTAACCGCCTTGTCTGCCATATTGCTCAGGGAGCTTTGAATCGCAGGGGAGCAGGGTCGCTCGGAGTACAGTCGCTAGCAAGACGCCTGCAAAATAACCGAGCAGAAAAATGAAACCCTAGTTGCTTTATAGTGCATAGTGTTAGGGTTCCAAGACTCCAGCGGTTTGTAACTCGGGCTAAGAATTATGACCGTGGACCAGACTCGGAATAACAGTATACGAACAGCAATTACAGGCCTTTCTTTTTTGGGAACTGAATACACCAGTCATCGACTCTGTACCTCCAGCTACCAACAAAGGCCCAATAAACGTTTTCCTTTTCTTTCTCCCCAAACAAAATAGTGATGAAAACTTGAGGCTTATTTGATAATTTGTTCTGAAAATAAATTTGTATTCTTTAAAAAAAAATTTGTTTAGCGACTTATTTTTAAAAAAATATTTTGAATAATAAAAAAATATAAAGATGCTTTAGATGTTATAAAATTATTATTTTGAAAAATAAAAAAGAATGTCAAAAAACACATGTTTTTATTACTTTTTTATACTTAAAACATATTTTACAATATAACAGTTTTTATATTAATAAAATAAAAAAGTTTTAAATAAACCTTTATATTGTGACATGCATAATGCGTGGTAAGTTAAAATAGATACTTTCTTTATTAAAAAATATAAAGTATTTTTAATCAAATCTCATCTTTTAATAAAGTAATTATTTACTTTTCAACTAACCCTATCTTTTCATATTTATCCTCATTAAACACCCTATAATAAATATAAAGTCATTGTCAATAGTAGTACTTTTAAAAAAAAAAGTGATTACACCTCGAAAGACTAAAAATACCTTACATTTTTTAACATCTAATTTTTTAAAAAATATCTTACATTTTTTAACGAAAGGAGTATATAATAAAACATTTTTTTTATTTTTCACAAGTTTTAGTTATGTTATTTTATTGTATAAAAATTTGAAAATATTGTTTATTGTGACAGATTTTTCTCTTTCGTGCCCATTTTTTTTTCATCGAACGGAGAAGAGAGTTAATTAACATGAATGATTATCAGAATCGAAATTTTAATATAAAAAGTATAAAAAGTTCAGATATGATAATAAATAACAAATATTATAGGTTATCTAACCCCTGCACAAGATTCATCCCATGCCACATAAGAATGTAACTCGTACCATGTTATCACTTTTTAAAGTGTTTATTTATTTTAACAAACGTAAATTATACATTTAGTTTTTAAATTTTGTATAACATTTTATTGTAGTCTTTTAATTTCATAAAGCGACTTTTAAATTTCTTTAATCTTAATATTGTGTTAGGCAAAAATAAAAGGAGCGTGTTTCGAGGCGTGTCAAATATGCGAGGTCTCAAAAGGATGGAAGAACCTGACTTCTAATCAAATGTGAGAAATTCAAGCCCCCTTATCATAGTTTACCTGGATGTGAAAATATGAAGTGAAAAAAAATTAATGTAGATGCAGAAGAGCAGAGATACATTAATTAAAGAAAGAGGTGGCAGATATATGCCAACCATATAATGAAAAATCAAGACTAAAACTACATAATAAAAGGAAAAATAAAATAAAGTAACTGACGCGAAGTTTGGAAATTTGATTGATAGTTTGTTGATATTGACGATGATTGTTGAGAAAGAGCTTCTATGTTTATAGATGATCATGACTTGATGTCCAAACCCCATGATCGACAATTCTCATGAATTTAGGTACCGCTTCCTCCATCATGGTTACTTATCATAAGTAGAGTGTGGATAATTTAGTGATTAAGGCTTCATAAATATTTTCTTTTAATTATTTTAAAACTAATTAAGTTGAGTTGAGTTTGAGCCTCCAAATTCACAATTTGGAAGCAAACATATTGTAAGTTTTATCCTAATAAATTTTTACATTAAACTTTTTAATATTAACAAAACATTATCAAATACAAACATATAAAGTTTAATCTTTTTAAAATAATGATGATTGATGTAAAAGATAATCATTTGAAACTAATGATATTAGGGTTAAAAGATTAAAAAGATATTTTATAAAATTAAATGATCAAATTAAAATTTTATATAAAGTTAAAAGATTAAAAGTATATTTTAGTCTTTTAACAAATTTTAAAGTTATATCACGTTGGGTAAAAGTTATTACACGCCTCTTGTACATCTATTTGCATAATCTAGGCATTAGAAAGAAATAATTATTAAATAATATTAACAACAAGCTTGCATTATATTTGATTTGATTGGAAGGAATGGAAGGGGAGATTGTTTGGATGGAAAAATAGAATGGATGGGTCGCTTCCTCTTGTTTGATTAAAATATAACGCAGTCCCTACAATAATAGGGAGATTCTGGGTGTGTTTGGTAAGCTCACTTTTCACATCCCAAATGTGGTTTTTAACTTTTAGGAAGTGGGATGTTGTTTGGGATATATTTTTAAGATGAAATGTGCTTTTCAAAAGGGCTTTTAAATGAGTCTGAGACTGAAAAAATAGGAAGCAACTTTTGAGAGCTTTTGAAATGCAAATCAAATAATGTGAGCATCAATGATTGGTACCTAATATTGTAAAAGACCATGATACTCTCATTTTCTCCTTCTTCACGTGCAACTGACACTAGCCTCTCTCATTTTGCATATTCTCACTCACTCATCCCTCACTCGTCCGTCTATCGTCTGTCGATCTGTCGTCGCTCCTCCTTCTCTCCTCCACCGTCTAGTCACAGATCCGAAGCTCCTTATCTCTTTACTTCCCTAGGCTCCTTGTCTCTTCCTTCGTTATAGGTTCTGCTATTACTCTACCTCATTTCTTCATTTTCACCGTCAGTTGTTCATGGATCAAGCTCATTTTAGGACTCAGACGACATTGCGAAGTTAAAAGAACTCAATACACTTGGATTTACAACTTGTGGAGTGCAAAACTGAACCTTTAGACTAGCTTTGCAAACTCTGGCCTGCTTCTCTTATCTATAAGGTATGATAGCCTGCAAATATTTTTTGTTAGATATGAAAATGATGGTCATCTATTTTGCATTAATAGATGAAAATGAAGCATAATATGGTAGATTTGGTGTGTATTTCCAATCTGCTCTATTCAGTGGTGACCATGTTCTTCGCATACCTAATGTTTTTTTTGCCTTCTTTTGATTGCCATCTGCATAGAACAAGAACGTAAGAGTTTAGTTCTTTGCAAACCCAGTTATTAACAAGTATGTTCTTTGAGATATATAATCTCACAGATAATATAAGAGGTGATACGATATTACCTGCGACATGGTGTTTTACCTTCTAACAAGGTGAAATTTATTATCAATACAACAGCTATAGTGAGATCATCCTACTACTATCAATGACATACAATATTAGCATTACCTCTAGATTGCTTTACATAAAGGAATGGGTAAATATTTTATAACCAAGATGACCTTTTCGAGAGGAAAGATGAGTCCTAATTTAGCTCAAACTAGATCACAGAGTATGCAATACTAGTAACCCTTCACTTGCCTTGAACATAGCTTACTTTTAAGAAAACAAGCATTGATCACACTAGCCTCTAAAGAAAAAAGTCACTGTAATAAAATTTACATTCTTAAACCTTACAGCATACCATTTTTAGCAGAACATGGTTGCCTATGCTTATTCCAACCAAAGGGTAAAGGAGTGTCAATCCTTAAATTAGTTAGGAAAGCTCATGGACCAAATGGCGAGATTATATATCTCAAAGAACCTCTGGTTAAATGTCATGCCATATATATATATATAAGAGATAGACAAAATTTGAAAATGAGCTCATTCCTTAAATGGTAAGTGGGCTCTCTGTAAATTAATATAATGCCAATTTTATTTCATAGTGTATATTATGTATAAATATTTTAACTCTTTCAACTTGATTATTAAGAATATGATATTTTGATAGTAAAAATGAGTAAAGAAAAGGCGCTATGGATTACCGAAGAGACCAAATTGATCATTAAATTAGCTCTCCAGCAAGTTAGAAAAAATGAGTGTAAAGGCTCTACCTTATCAAAAGAAGGTTGGGAGGCATTAATGTAACAATTCAATGCATTGAGCTCTAGAAGCTATGATAAGAAGCAGCTAAAGAACAAATGGGACAATTTGAGGAAGGACTGAAATATATGGGAGAAACTGTTGCACAAAGAGACTGGTTCAGGATGGGATAGTGAAAAGAATACTGCATCAACACCAGGGGAGTAGTGGAATCAAAAGATTAAGGTATGTAATTATTTATGGCATGCTATATATTTGATACTTTATTTTGTAAATAAACTAGACTCAATTCTTGTAAATGTATAGGAGAATTATGAGTACAGAAAATTCAGACATAGACCACTTCCATATGTATAAGAATTGACACTTGCAGCATGGGGCACTTACATGTGGACACCTGTAGTTGATGATCCACAAGATGTGTATAGGCCTCATTAGATTTGATTGAAGGATCGGGAGACAGTGATAATGTAAGAAATATTGGTGGAGGAGCTCTCCCAGAAATTAGGTAGGTCAATTTCAATATTGCATAGAATGGTGGTACTGATTCAGGGAGTAAGCAAAAGAGAGGTAAAAGTGGTTAAAACAAGAAGGGAAAACATCTTACAACTGTGATGTTGATTCAGTGAGTCGATTGGTGTACAAACAAGAAGATATGGTTTCAACACTGAAGTCAATTCTTAATTTCATAGAGGGTGGAACAAAACTAGTTGATCAAAATGTGGTGGATGTTGTAAAGGAACTTTATGAAATCGAGAAGATTGCTTGTGAGGAGGCGCTTCTTGGACAGTGTGCTATGGCCTTGCTAGATAAGACTGTAAGGGACATATATATTAGGCTTAGGGACAACAGAAGAGTAATAGTGGCCTATTTAAAGTGCTTAGGCAAAAAAGAAGATTAGATCAATCCTAACTTGCCTTCTTAATGTTTTAAATCTAGCTAGTGCTGTTCATGTTGTTAACTTTGTTTTGAAATTGACTATGTTATTTGACTCTTGTTTTATGTGTTTCTTATGTTAAGTCATGGATAATGGTGTAATGGTTGTTTAATTATTCTATGCAGTTTTGATGGATGATAATACGCAATCTCGCTTATTACAATTACTTGTACATGTGAAAGACAATGAGGTTGAGGCTATTACTGCAATAGTATTTAATTACTCAACAACTTTATTGAAAGAGCCTTGTAGAACTAATTCACAATCGGGTCATGCATAAGTGCAAGAAATTTTACAAGGGCATCCTCAGCATTGTTATGACATGTTTTGCATAGAAAAAGATGTTTTCTTTTCAATTTTGTGATGAACTGATGCAACATGGTTTGTGTCCAACCAGAAGAACAAGAATTCATGAAATGGTCGGTACATTCTTAAATATTGTTGAACATGGGGTGGGGAATAGGATGGCATAAGAACAATTTCAACATTTAGCAGAAACTGTTCACAAACATTTTAGAAATGTATTACATGCTTGTAAGAAGCTAGCAAAGGAATATATCTAACCAAAAAATCGCACTTTTCAAGATATTCATTCAAAAATTTTAGGTGATCCGTGATATTAGCCATTATTTAAAGATGCCATAGGAGCAATTGATGGAATACATATCCTGTGCGTGGTCAGTCTTGAAGAGCATGGGAAATATATTGAAAGGAAAGGTATTCCAACACAAAATATAATGGCCGCATGTGATTGGGATATATGCTTTACTTATGTCATGATTAGATAGGAAGGGACTACCCATAATGCTCGTTTGTTTGACTATGCACTCACATGGCCAGACATGAAATTTTCACATCCACCCTAAGGTATATTTCATATTTATCTAATTTAAAATAATTTTTTCAATATTTTTTGGAATCTTACAATTTCTACGTTTTTATTGGTAGGTAAATATTATTTGTTAGATGCCAACTATCCAACACCACATGAATATTTAAGTCCTTATAGATCTTATAGGTACCACCTCCCAGATTTCAAGTGTTCATCTAAATTTACAAACAATAATGAGGTTTTCAATTATTATCATTCAAGCTTAAGGACCATGATTGAAAGGACTTTTAGGGTTTGGAAAAAAAGATTTGCAATCTTATGACACATGCCTAGCTATCCATTTATGATGCAAGTTCGTATTATTGGTGTAACAATGGCTATACATAATTTTATTAGAAGAAGATCTACAACTGATTCTGACTTTAGGCATTTTGAGGATGAAAATATGGTTAATATTAACGATGATAATGACGAGCATGTATTTTCATCAACAATTTCAAATACAATTTCAAGCGTAGCTTCTGATAGAGAGATGAATAAAGTTCAGGTTTCTATTAGAGATCAAATTACATATTATAGATCGAATCATTAATCATGTAACTATTTAATATTAATGAATGTTTAACTATTTATTACATAATTTTTCCCAAAATTAAATTTTATATTTTTTCTTATTATTTAACATTTTAAATTTTATGTTATTTTAAATTTGTTTCACATTTTTAAACATTGTTAATATATTATATTTGTATAATAAAAATTACAAATTATTATAAATTAATGTCCTTTTTGGTCATTACATATTAAAAAATACATTTCAAAAGAATAAATTTTTATTAATCTAAAAAACTTTCAATTTATCAAACTGACTTTTGAAAAAATACATCCAAATACAAATTTCATTACAAAAAACTTTTATCAAATAAACTTTTGGCAAATTGACTTTTGGCAAATAAAAAACCAAACACACACTCTTTCTATCCCTTCCCCCTCCTTTTGCCTTTTCCCTATTGTTCTCTCATTTCCCTTTAACCAAAGGTGTCTGGGATTTGGCCCAAAAAAAAAAAAGAAAGAATAATTACTGCCTGAGGTTAGGTGGTTCTTTTGAAAGATATTTATAGCAAGAATAGCGACCCTTTTGAAACCTTCAAATTGTCGAGGTTATGGCAAAGCTTATTGGCTATTATCAGTGTAGCTTCATCCCAGAAAGACAAAGCAGTGATAACATAATTATTGCCTAAGAAGTGATTCACTCTATGAGAAGCAAGAGAGGACCAAAGGGCATGATAGAGGTTAAGGTAAACCTTGAGAAAGCTTATGACAAGCTTGAATGGCCTTTCATCCTTAATACCCTTAACCAAATTGAACTCCCAGATGATTTGTGTAAACTCATTATGACATGTATCAGCACAACTTCTATCCAAGTTCTTTGGAATAGTGACCCTCCTGAAACCTTCAAACCATTGAGGGGCATTCAGTAGGGAGACCCAGTTTCCCCTAACATTTTCACATTATGTATGGAGAGATTAAGTCATGTAATTAGAGATACAGTGGAAGATGAGGTTTGGACTTCGATAAAGCTTTGTATTGATGGACTCTTGATTTCCCACCTTTTCTTTGTTGATTACCTTATTCTATTTGGAGAGGCGTCTCGATCCTAAGTGGAAGTTATGAATGATGTTCTGAATCGCTTTTGTTCTTCTTATAGCCAGACTATGAATAACTCTAAGACTAAGATGTTTTGTTCAAGAAATGTCTATATCTCAAGATCGCCTGACTTGAGTAATAAAATGGGAGTGTCTCTAATTGCTGGCCTAGATAAATACTTGAGCATTCCCCCCATACATAAAAGGGCATTTTATGTGCTTTTTGCACCCATTTTAAAGAAGACACAGAAGAGATTGAGTGGTTGGAAAGGTCAGTTCCTTAATAAAGCAGGAAGAGCTACTCTAATCAAGGCTGTCATTTTTGCTTTGCCTTTATATCATATGTAAACTTTGCTGCTTCCTAAACGTTTGCTGAAAGAAATTGAAAAACAAAGTAGGAATTTCTTCTGGGGCCATTTAAAAAACAATTGGGGCCTCCACCTTTTATATTAGGGTCTAATCTCGTCAAATAAGCTAAAGGGTGGCCTTGGTATTAAGAATCTGAGGAGACAAAATGAAGCTTTTGTGATTAAATTGTGTTGGAACCTCCTAACCAATAAGGAGAGTTCTTAGGTGAAGAAGTTTTAATAAGAAAATACAAGTATGGTACTGGACTAGTCTTGAGTATTAAGAAGAAGTCATCTTCCTTGACCTGGAGAAGCATATGTGCTGTTTGGGAAAATTTCAGAGTTAGAGTGAGGAAGAAAGTAGGAAATGGCAGAAGCACCTCTTTCTGGTTTGATAATTGGTTAGAATTGAATATTCCCTTGATTGAACTTATTTTAGGATATAAAGATTTTGTTGACAAAGAAGAGATGATATCTGATTATATATGGCATAATGGTGAGTGGAACATAGAGAAACTAATGGATTAGCTTGATATTCATGTTGTGGATCGTTTGACTCAGCAATACCCACCATGTGAGGAGAGAGGAGAGGATAAACACTTTTGGAAACCATCTTCAAATGGTTCATTTACTATTAAATCTGCTTATAACTTTATCTCTGCAAGTATGCAACGCCCAGTGGATCCTATATGGAAGCTTTTATAGAAATGGTTCGTTCTTGAAAAAATCAAATCCTTTACGTGGCTGTTCACACATGGCCGTCTACATACCATGGACCTAAGGAAATGAAGGGGTTTACAAACTAATGATGATTGCCTAATGGGTTGCAATGCCAAGGAAGGCAGCATGCACCTTCTTAGAGATTGTAGCAATACTTTCAACAAGTGGAAATCTATGGTTAGTGAAGCTGAAATGGAAACTTTCTACTCTATCCAATGTTTAGATTGGGTCAAATGGAACCTAGAAAATGAAATAGGGAATCCTTATCTAAGAAAATCTTCTGGCCAACTTTGTTTAGGTATCTTTGTTAGGATATTTAGGCTCATCGTTGTAACATAGTCTTCGGTTTTAAAGAAACATGGAACGTTCAGGATGGTTTCTCTAGTTAAGTTAGAGCTTGTATCGACAAGGAACTTGTTAATAACACCAGTATGTTTTGCCATATAGCTAATGATCGAGTACAAGAAAACATATTTGATAAGGATTTTGTCCAATTGCATATGGATTGTTTGGTCAGAGATGATGGGAGTAGTAGATGTGGAGGTGTCATACGTGATGCTCATAACAGTTGGATATATGGTTTCAGCTCCAAATTGATTATTATTCCCCTTACAATTGCGGAGTTGATCGGAATCATATAAGGGCTCCCTTTATGTTGAAAGGAATTTGTGTAGAGTGGCAATCTTCTCAAATAGCTTGGAAGCACTCAACCTTGTCATTTGTGGTTGTGATATGAACTACTTGTTTAAGGATATTGTTGATTAGGCTAGAGCTTACTTTTGTAGGGGAGGTCAGATTACTCTCAACCATGCTTATAGGAACCTTAACAGCGACGCTGACTACTGAGCTAGGCTTTCTTATTCTTTACAGAGTAATTTCTACCTCTTTAATTATCATCCTTGCTCACATTCGGCATTGGAAGATAGTGAAAGAGGATAGGGTTTTTTGTTAGGTCTTTTGTTCATTTTTTTTTGGTTGTACTTTGGACTCTTTTGTAGCTTTTGTTCTTGATTGATTTACAGTTCGGATTCAAAAAAGAAAAAAAAAGATATTCACACACACGTGCGAGGGGATGGAGCACGTGCCTCTTGATAATTATCCTGAGATGAAATGAGATCCACATTCTTGGCAAGCCACGGGGACAATCCATGGACACGACTGGCCTATTTCGAAGATTACCAGATTTTCACAAAATCCAGAGCGTGGTGTTATTTGCTGTTTCTCATTCCTAATTGGTAATCGGTGAACGCTGACGATGCTGATCGGATCGGATTATGGTCATTTTTAAGAACATTCTCTTCTTGACTTCAACATGTCCACCACTCCCACCCCCTCCATGGCCACAATCTCCTTACCTGAAGCTAACCCCTTGAAATGGAACCAAAACTTCCCTCTACAATTATTCCCTCGTCGATTCCCTCACGCCAATCGCTCTTTCGCTCAACCGCCTAAATTTTCCTCCATTATGCGCCTGAAAGCTCCAGCCGCGCATAACTGTATCAAATGCTTATTCTCGCAAAAGCCCTCTGTACAAATGAGTTCTGAGTCCCTTGACGTAGACTACACTAAAGCTACCTTCGAGGTCATCGCAAGTACAATATTGAATGCGCTAAAGGCCTTGAGGAAACCGGCGATAACTGCGGTTTTGCTAGGGCTTTTATTGATGTATGATCCCAACTCGGCAACAGCCGCATCTGGAGGTCGAATGGGTGGGAGGTCCTTCTCTTCGCATTCTTCATCTTCCTCGTCTTCGAGGAGTTATTCGGTACCCAGGTCATCCAGCCCGGGCTTTTCGTATTCGGTGCCGTATTATGCGCCTTCTCCTTTTGGGTTTGGTGGGGGCGGGTTCTACGTTGGGCCAGCAGTGGGTGTTGGAGTAGGTGCTGGGTCCAGTTTCCTCCTCATCATGATGGGTTTCGCGGCGTTTATATTGGTTTCTGGGTTTCTTTCAGATCGGTCTGAGGGTAGTGTGCTTACTGCCACCGAGAAAACTAGTGTGCTCAAGCTTCAGGTGCGGTGAACTTTTGCACTTAAAATTCTTTAAAACTACCTATAAACAAATATTAGCGCTTAAAATTTAGTGTCGTCGTTCATTTTGCTGCCATAAGATATTTTGCTCTGGTTCCTGCCAACTGACCCTGGCTGACGAATGGAGGTGACCTGGTGGTGTTTAACCTGACTTTAGAAACTGAAATTCCAACGTGTTCAGTAATTATCGTGTTGAATATTTAAATGTTGATGCTACAATTTTCAATGATAAAGTTTGTCTGAGTTTCAAACATCGCTGTATGTTTAAGGTTGGGTTGTTGGGGATGGGGCGCTCGCTTCAAAGGGATTTGAATAGGATTGCAGAAGTTGCAGATACATCATCTCCTGAAGGTTTGAGCTACGTATTGACAGGTGAACCTTCTAAAGCATGGGGATTATTCTTCACATTTTTTAGTTTTTTATTTTGTATTGTTTATGACACGGGATAACATTGAATTCACGTAAGGTTTATTGATCCTGTGCACATAAATATGATGTTGTGTATGGTTGTATGTGTGAAACATCACTGGATAAGAATGGACGGCGTATTCAAGTAAATAGCAATGCTTTGTGATGTTAATGTTCTTGGTTGTACTCCCTCCGGACTTTATTACAAGACATTATCAACCTTTTCATGCATCTTCAAAAAAGATAGTTTTTTTTTTTCTAGATATTATAAAAAAGTAAGATGTATTTTTATTTTTGTCTTTGGTTCTAAATAATAATATAGTTACATTAAATACCTTTATGCTAATCAAAAGGGATAAAATTAAAAAAAAAATTGTTTAGTTATTGCAAGATGTCCTATATTTTGGATTAAAAATTATTTTTAAAAGGTGGCTTATAAATAAGACTGAAGGGGGTATTTTTTATGGATGTTGCCAAATCCTTTATCCTTTTGAAGTAGTTTTGTTGGAGGACATCTTGTCCACTGTTCTTGTTGAGAACCTGAACTTCTGTTTAATGTAAACAATTCCTGAAACAAATGTGAGGTGCGTCATTTAAATTTGATTCATGTGAATAAAATCAGTCAAATAACTAGCGTTTAAAACAATCAAACTCAAACGAATACAAGGTCAAAGGCTCTATCACAAATCACGATTACTATCTTGAAATGATATATGAAGTTTTAAATTTAATTGTATTGTATGGAAATAACAAACTATTTTATGACAGAAGTTGATGTGAAAAGTGGTTTTAGGTATGGTTTTTAAACGATAATGATTTACTTCATATTCACATGGTTATATATATTTTCTATTTTTATTTACTATTTTTGTATTTGACATTTTGTTACAGAGACAACACTAGCTTTGCTTCGACATCCTGATTACTGCATCTCAGCATATTCATCCGTAAGTGAATTTTATCTCCAAAAACCATTGTCGATCTTCTCATATTAGTTCATACAGATAAATGCCATGGTACTTTCAATGGCTCTTTTTGTTTATTGATTGTTGACACTCTATAAGACATTGAACCATAGTGCTGCTGTTCTTGCTAATTCCGAAGATCTTGTGACACACTTATTTTGTGTTTATTGTTAACTTCTCTTTATTAGTTGAAGTATTAAAGCGGATAGTGAACTTTCAAGTTCAATAAGGCTGTTACTATCTAGTGGATCTGGCTGATATCATGAAACGTGCAAGTGTTCAGATGTTTTTTCTCTCTTCATTGAAGGGATAGGATCTTGAAATCTGAGCATATGAAGATTCCTTTTATTACTGTTTTATAAAGAAGAGTCTGCCCGAGTGTGAGTCTTTGCATATGGCTACAGGCTTGGAAAATGAAAGAAAAACAGCTCGGCAGTCCACAATCCTAGCTATGTCTGAGGCTAGACTCTCCGACACAATGCACATGTCTTGACCACTCGCACTGGACCCACACACACCGTCTATTCTACTCGATTCCTTTTCCTCTCTCTCCTCTAACAGCCCTGTAAATACAGGGTTGTTAGTTGCTTCTTTTATTCTTTCTAATATCACTGGTCATCAAGGCCATCATCTCCGTTTTCTTATTTTATCAAAGGTCCGGGAGTAGGTTTCTTGCCTCTTATTGCACAAGTTAGAAATAAAAGCCCATTTCAATCTGAGAAATATCTGCAACATAATAGTATTAGTTATCATCTGTGTCAGTGGAACTAACCAGAACTCAGTATCAGGAAAGTTGACTGTGTATGGTATTACCTAACACCATTTCATGCAGGTTGACTTCAAGCGGAGTGTTGAGGATGGAGAGAAACGCTTCAATCAACTTTCCATTGAAGAGCGTGGAAAATTTGATGAAGAGACGCTTGTCAATGTGAACAACATAAAAAGGCAAAGCACAAGAAGCCAAAGAGCAAATGGATTTAGCAATGAGTACATTGTGGTATGACCTGATATGATTTTCTAAATAGCTTTTCTTGATCTGGGTTTCAACTTGCTGTATTTCAGCATGCAAAATGGTTGTTTTGTTGCGTTTATTGGTTTTGTCTTTGTTGTCATTTGACATCAATATTTAGAGATTAGGACGTGGACATAGTTTGGTATCTTGCGGTTGGTTTCATGCTTAACTTAGGCTTAGTTGATTTTTGATAGATTTTAAATTTTTACCTATCTGATAGACACGTGTTATAGGACGATGGATCTCTGAGTTAGTTTCAAATGTGGAAATCATTGAGGCGCTTCAAAAAGTGCGAACAAGCATTGCTACAAGGAGGAAGTAAAAGAAGCAACAGGAAAAGGAGGAAAAGGATAAAGATTAGATGTAATTTAATCTGAACATATTGAAAGTCCTTGCTCATAGGTTTTAATATATAGTTTCAGAGCGGAGGATGTCAAAACAATTGAGCAGTGGGTTCACCTTCACAGAAACCTGCAGCATGCGTAGCCTGATGGTTTAAATTTCAGCTGCTTAAGCAAACTTGAGATGCCAAGAACATGTTAGGTTGTAATTCATATTCAAAGATTTATTTTTTTACCATCTCTTTATTGATAGTTAACTAAGATGTCAGGAGGGTCTCTGGATTTTGTTGTCTTTAGCAAAAATGGAAAGAGATAAACAATTTATTATATACATGAAGAAGATTGACATACTTTGTTTTTAATTTCCTCCCGTCACTCATTAGAGAAAGAGGAGAATTGATGAGCGAGATCGTATTCTTTTCTTCTGATCTTGCTTGTTCTATAAAATATCAGATTACAATCTTGGCAGCAGCTGAAGGAGTACATAAGCTTCCTACCATCAATGGGAGTGGAGATTTGAAGGAAGCCTTACAAAAGCTGGGATCCATTTCTTCGAGCAAATTATTAGTAAGGATCAATATTTTTCTGGCAATCCTTTTGCAGATGTTATCAGTAATATGTATCCTTAACGCCATGTCACTCCATGCTAATATTTATTGCAGGCAGTTGAGGTCTTGTGGACCCCACAGAATGAAAATGACACTCTCTCAGAACGAGAACTCCTTGAAGATTACCCACTATTGCGGCCTTTGTGATGGGTTATTTTCGTACTAGCATGAAGCGAGTAGAAGTGTGGTTGTATTTTGTGGGTCACTTGTATTTGTATAGTTGATGATGGTCTATAATAGAACAAAAATGATGACATCAATACTTTAATTGACACTGCCTTCTCGTGTAAGATTAGAATGTGTCGCGAGTTGGTAGCTCAAGTTCACCAGCTATTTGGTCCATGGGTTTTGACATAATTTCTATAACAAAGGGGTGTTCATCATATCTGACCCAAAAAAAGGGAAAAAGAGTTTTTTTTTTGGGGGGGGGGGTGGGGGCGGAAGGTTGGTCATCATAGAAGGTTGAATTCTGCCAACACATGTCCGATGGATTCTCTGAAGAGATTTATATCTAGTAACATTTTCAAATCGCTGCAGCTTGAAATAGATTGTAGTTCCGTCAATATATGAATGTATAAATATAACAAAAAAATTATGATAAGCTGTATTATTCACAAACTAAAAGATTTTTTTTAAAACAAGTCACATATAGTGTCTGTTTGTTTAAAATTAAAAAATATGTAATTTTTAAATAATTTAGAGATTTTATGAAAAGATTTATTTTATAGATATTTTATAAAAGGTATATATTATTTTATGTTTGGTTATAATAGAAATAATAATTATTAATTAGTTATTTTAAAATTTTATAATAATTTTGTATATCTTACTTTTTTAAAATATCCTCTTTCATCTACAGTATTAGATTACTTTAAGAAGTTACTCAAAATAATCTATTAAAATAATCAGAATTTTTTTAAATTATGATTATTTTTGAAAGATTAAACAAACATTATAAAACTCACAAAATAAATTTTTTTAAAAAAAATAAGTGATTTTTTTATAAAATAAATTAAAAAGAAAACTGCCTCTATATTATGTGGCAAAATGAAGTCACCAGGTCCAGGTGGATCAGTCTGATGAATAATAATTCTTCTGATCTAGCAAGCAGAAACAAGAAAAGCATGCATTCATGAATGCAATACTATTCTTTCCGTAGGCCACGTAGAGTGATTCATTTCTTGCTTTATTTCCCTTCTCTTTTTTCCTGATAAACGGATCATCTTCCCAACGCGACCCTTTGATTCATGATCGGGGTCAGTGTGTGGGGTAGAGCCATACCACTTTGTCACACGGCTTTAAAACTTTTTTTTTTTTAAACCAGTCTTAACTTAATCAACTTTTTAATTTTTATTAAATCAATCAAATTTTCAAAATGTAGACAAATAGGCTAAAAAAATTAAAACACACAGAGAGAGCAGCTTAAATGAGAGAACTTAGAATCTTTATTACTTTGCTCAACAGTTACAAATGAAGAGTGCTTGGCTATTTATAGATTTCTCATCTTCCAGAAAGTTTTTACCTCCTTACTAAATGGTGAAGATTAATTTAATTCTACGGTGTATATATTCATTCTCTGAAATATGCTACAAAAATATCTATAAAAAATATCTAGATATTTATAAGAATATTTTTAAATACTTTTTTCAAAATGTGTACAACATTCTAAAACATGTTAGAATATTTTATAATATTCTAGATATATCTACATTATTTTTTAAATTTCTAAGATCTTCTAGATGCTTCTAGATCCTTTTAATTATATATTTTTAGATTATTTTACATGATTCTAGAACATTTTGAAACATATTAAATTTTTCTTAAATGTCTTGAAATTCTTTACATTACTTTAAAGGTCTCCAAAAACTATTCATCTTTGTAGGTTCTCCTTTTTGTGAACGCAAGTTGTGACATCTAACTCTACCACCGTATAAAATGATCTTCACCATGTTAGCTTGGTATGAGTATTAACAAGTATAATACATTTAGTGTGTACAACTCAAAGGCTAACTAATATTTTTTTAATTCTATTTTATAAATTACTTTTAACATATTTCATTGTTTTTTTGGCCAACCTTTTAACATAATTCATTAAAACTAAGAAAATTTTAAAGTTTATTAATTTCATCTAAAAATTCAATAAATTTTTAATTTTATTCTCATTAAATATACATATTTTAATAATATTTTCTCTCTTCAACTTTTAATGAATGGTAAAAGAGAAAATTTTTGATAAAAAATTAATAACATAATTTATAAATAAGATACAAAAAATTTCTCTCCATCTTATAAAGTGAACTAGAGGGAGGGAGTAAGGGTAAATAATACAGGAAAAATGCCCAAACACTCCTGAGCTCAGTTGTTAGTATAAGTATAGATATGAATTAATTTTTGAGATCTGCTCTGGAGCTAATTTTTCAGGACATCTTCGTACCAGGAGGGTCAAAGTCTCGATCTCAATGGCTGAATCGTCACGCGCAATATTTGGGCCCCTCCCACCGTAGTCCGTAGACGTACATCTTGACCAAACTGCTACGCTCAATTATTGCAGCTATACACTTCCTGCCACCAAGGCTGTTGATTCTTTCAATTTGGCAAACGCTGGGGTGCAGAAACTTTTTGAAAAAATTGGGATTAAGGACCTATTGGCAAGTATATTTGATAAAAAGACCTGAATTGCACTGCAGAATAACGGAAGAAAAGATGCAGAGTATAGAAGATTTTTGCTACAAAAGCTTTTTCCTAATTATATTTGCCAATAGTCCCGAACTCTTTAAAATGGTTGATTCATACAAGCCCTCAATTCCTAGATCATTCCCCATTCACTGAAGTCGAATTTTTACAAATATAGAACACATTGTATTGCTGTGTGTGGAGGAGAGTCCTCTAGCTTGGCATATTGAAATTCCGAGGAGACCGAAGAAAAAGGGTTTGATCTGAAAATCATAAGCCTCAATAAATGTAATATGAAATCTACAAAAGAATCATCGAGTGCCTCACGAGTTTATATATCAACCGCATCAACTGGGAGGGAAACAGTCCTGTGCAGAGAGTGGGGAGCCAATGAGCCTGTGTAAAAACTCTTTGCGGTAACGACACCTCCAGGGGAATCCATCGCCTCACAATTTCGGGCCCTTTGGGTGTCCGAATTGGGGCAGCTCTTGTTGAAGTGAGAGTGGCAGCTGGAACCACAATTAGCTAAGGGTTTAAAACTGTTTCCTCTTTCAAGAGTGTCCGTCTGTAAAGGTGATGATATTCCGCATTCTGATTTCTGCTTTCTGTCATGCGGAGATTTTTCCGTTAGCCCAAGCTGACGATCCCTGAGTTCCCTTAACTCCATTTGGTACTTTGCTCGGAGCCATCTTAGCTCCTGCTGGCTGTCTTTTTCACATTCTTTCTCAAGGTCACAATAAAACGAACCAATTGGGGTAAAATAATGCGTTCCTGATAGGTTCTTCTGGGAATTTCCTGCATTGGGTGCGAACTTGTAATCCCAAGCATCATATCCCTCACCTTCAGCTGATACTGATTTATCTAACGGTTCATTTTGTTCATCAGAGTGGCTTCTTTCAGATTCCACTGGACTAAGTTCACGACTTTCATGGTGATTCCATAACTCCCGATACTGCAAGCAGCCTGAATGACTTGATACGTTAGGCGCATCAGCATTCTCTCTAATATGATTGCCGTACTCATCAGACTCAAATGCGATCTCCTCAAACCGTCCGTGCATTAAAGCACATTTATGCCTACAGCACTGAAGAAATTGCGTGTTCTTGGTGCCTGAATTATGTGACAGAAAATCCGTAAGGGAACCACTGGAAGTATGATTAGATGCACAGTTGTGGCAGAAACTTTGACTTGCAAAACGGGGAGTTTCCTCAATCCCTGGCCCTGGCCTCCATTCAGGTACCAAGGAAGCAATTTCCCCATCTATCATATCTGCTATTCTGGTTACATCGTGATCAGTCATGTCAAGTTCTGCAACCATTTCAGTTGCCACACTTAAGGCTGTATCGGTCTCTATGTCAAATGGGAAATAAATATTTCGAATATGCCCTGCAATATAAATTAATCACAGACTGATAAGAGATCAATTTCAGAGCAGAACTTACGAGTCAAGGGCACAAGGTACTGATGATAAAATAGTGATAAACCAACCTTCTTTATCTGCAATTCTTAGTCTCAAAAAGATGCCCCCGTCGTCTTTTCTCTTGCCTTTGATGCTTATGTCAACATCTTCGGATGGTTCATCATCCTTGTATTGAAAGAGTTCAATTCCAGCAGGTTCAATCTCAGTTGGATGAGGAAACCAGTCTACATCATAGCCATATCCGTTAGAGTATTCCTTACTCATGTTACTATAACTTCGATGAAAATCATAGAGTGGGTGTCGAATGAGAGGACTCATGTCATCAAATTCCCCACTGTCTGCTAGCCTTAATAATGATTCGTAATCATCAATTTGGAGGAAAGGGTCGTCTAGAAGCTCTCTTGCTGAGAGCCTCAGCGACACAGTTGCTAAGCATTTCTCAACAAATTGTCTCACTTCCGGATCCTTGACTTTATATAAAGCGTCTGGTTTTTTCCCCTGGAGACAAAATGTCAATCATACCTAATTACTCAGAAAAATCCATCTCATGTAGACACAAACACAAGCACACAAAGAAACAGAAAGCAATCTTACAGAAATGACTTTCTTGTAGATTTGTGCTGGATGAGTACATTCACTATAAGGATATTCAAATGTGATCATTTCAAGTATGCACATGCCAAAGGAGTATATATCAACTAATTCATTATATGCTTCTTCGTAGACTTCTGGGGCCATGAACTCAGGCGTTCCTGCAAATATAAAACCGTAGCAGATGAAACTCTGAAGTAACAAGCCATAACAACTGACCCTTGTTCAAATCACTCCTCCCATTTTCTAAAGAACATTGACTGCAGGAGAATGTTTCATGTTGTTTCGTAACTTGCCAAATCATTTCCAAAACAAGGCATCAACTAGCTGTCGTTGGAATTGGAGATGACAAAATAACTTCTTGATATCTTCGAATATGATAGTGACATGAGATAAACATACCGACACAATTTGCAGCATGGGATTTCCGTAGAATTGCTGCCAGACCAAGATCACCAATCTTCACTTCGCCTTGGTGTCCATTAACAAAAATATTATCACATTTGAGATCTCTATGAATCACAGGTGGGTCATGGCTATGGAGATAGAGAAGCCCTCTCAGGATCTGTCTGCACCAATGCTTTACTGCTCTGATGTTCACTCTTCTGTGCTTTAGCCTATACCTTTGCGACGATAACAATGGATAAGTTACAAAAATAAGAAACAAAACAGATCTCAAAGTAGAAGATCAACAGAAGT